ATTATATCATGCATTTTTTTATTATTGTTTTATGCATAATTTTTTATTTTGAAAAAATTATTTTTAATATGATTTTAATAAATTATTAAAATAATAAAATTGTTAATCAATTACGATCACATATTCATTATAATATGACAATCAATTCAAGCATTCAATTCGCAAAAAAAAAATACGTAAGATATTATTAATAAATATCGAATAAAATTAATAACTTTCCGTTAATCGAATTATTTGATTACTTGTCTGTTTTATTACGTTTTTAATCGAAAAATATAGTAATGAATAAATTTAAATTGATAAAGCAGTTTCAAGTACATGTTATAATTCATATTTCAATTATTATATTTGTATCTCCTAAATGTGCCAATTAACTATTATTATTACTTGCTAAATTTGCAATGCGCATTCGTATTTATAAAACTGCCAATAATAAACTCTTAAACTCATAAATTGAATTGTCTCCAACTGATATGTTAATAATTGTTCAAAGGCAGCGTAAAAATGAATGCGTAAAAGGATGAAGGCGGATTTAAAGATGAAGGGCGAAAGGCAAACTTAATTGGCGAAGAGAACATAATTTGCGCGAGGTTCGATCGAGCGACTTGCAAAGGGATTAACGCGCGCTCACGGAGATTGGACTTGTCGAAGCAGACGCCATCGGAGTTATTCCCATGAAGATTCATGAATGTTTACTTCAAGTCGTGCCGTAAGTCCGTACCTGCTCGAGGTGGATCCATTCGTTTGTCTTCCTCCCACCGGTGTAAATCATTAGATTTACGGCCGCCGACGTTACATACTATACCCCTCTTTGGGATCGTGCTCGCTGAGTTTATTACATTTGACCCAACATGGATCTGTACTATTGAGAGGCGATGTAATAAGCTCAGATCCGATATAGTGGAAATTGACAGATCACAATCGATCGATCTCCATACGTGCACGAGTATCTTCTCAGGAGCACCTGTTTATGTGATACCAGAACACATCTTGCCATGTATCGTTGACATTCGCCAAAATGATTTTCCGACAGTATATAAAGTTAGTCTGAAAACGTAAAATTCCTATTCTGTAACTCTCGACGATAATGTCGATGTCATTGCATTGTTGTTACGCATGTTTTATACGTAATAAAAAAAAAGCTGCGCAATGATAGTATAACAATATTATTAATTGGCATTGTTGTTAAAAGTTACAGAATAGGCACAAAGTCGAGTCTTTGAGATGACATCCAGAGAGAAAATTAATTTATTCGTATTGTTTAAAATCTTCAAAAGTTATTGCATTTAAATCGAGATAAATATTTTAAAAAATGAAAACCTTATTCTTAAAGATCGAAAATCTTTTTATCAAGACTGGCTCAATTTTTAATCTGTAGATTACGTTACAGAATAAGTTTCTATTTCAAAAAATTTTGAGAGTATATATTTGAGCATTGAAAAGAAAGAAAGTGAAGATGCTAAAAAAAGTGCAAGCAACATCTAGATCTAATATCGTGCAATTATTATAAGTGCATGTAATATTGTATTCGTGTCGTTTATCACCAAACTGCCGCAGAATGTTGTGTCCGACAGAGATGTGATAGAGTTTATATGCACTGGCGGTTGTCCTACACACCACCACGATGCTACTAATTCGTATTTAAAGCTTTATCGGACGCGCCTCGTGCCCCGCGCAACAATTTCACGCTTCACAGAAACCATCCTACATCTAGGATCACTGCCATTAACACCATCATTCCTGTGTGGTTTATGTGTACCACAGCATGAATCGAGCGCGCTCGAGGTATCCTCAAATACGTACAAGGTATATATACGGTACAAGTATCAGTGTTAGCAGTCACACATTAAATAAGTACTTTGTTCAGATATAATCACTCTTGTATAATGAATGAATAAGAATTTTTATCTGGATTTATCTTTATGGTGAACATACCTGGATACCTTTGAATGATTATTTCTCTTTTCCGAAATAATCTATAATACACTTTCCCTGAATCGATATAAATTTTTATCTATTTATTGAATCATTCGCTATTATAACTGAAAGATATAATTTTCATTTTATTTGAAATTGGTTTTTACGCACATTGATTAAACTTAACCGTCCGCTGATTCTTTTTTGGCAAAAGCGAATCTTTACTCTCAAATTTCATCCTCATTTTTGCTCAAATTAAAATTTTTATTAAATAAAGGTTTTTGCGTTTGAGTATAAAAACTAATTGGTAATGTAATACAGATATAAAAAAACTCGTTAATGTTTTTTAAAGCCTAGTAAAAAAAACATTTTATCTGGACAAAAAAGACGGAAGGTTAATTTATCAATTTTGTTATGAAACTTCTGTAATTCGAAAAAAAAACGTAAAATAATTCAATAATAAAATAATACATTCATAATTGTATTATAATGTTTCAAAGAAACTTTTTTTAATTATTTTATTGGATTCAATTTGCTTCTTTTTCGCTTCTTCTTTATGCTTTACATGTTTTAAGGGGATCAACGCAGCATTTTACCATATTAAAAATATTTTTTTTACTGTCACTGCTAATTCACATCAACTCATTGGCCCACAGCATCCCTAAAATGTTAAATCGCTTCAACCCCTCCCGAATTCCCCCTCCCCCCCCCCCCCCCCCCTCTCTCTCTCTCTCTCTCTCTATTTGGCTATGCACTTTATCCACCTCCCCATCGCCGCTAGATGCAATTTTAATCCCGAATTCCAAGAAAATTACCTTGCCGTCAGAGCTGTTTAAGGGGGTACTAGATGAGATTGCCTCTGTTACCTGTCAGCCCGCTTGACATATAGTATATTATGCAGCTAGCTGTTCGAACTAGTCTTGAGATTATTCTCTAATTTAAATTTCTATTTTCCTTTCGCACCGTCGGCGCCATTGCTACCGCCGTCGAGCCGCGTTTTAATAGCACGAGGGAGATAGATGAATTTCAAAGGTGCGGCTTTGAAAATTTCAGCGCATGTTTTCACAAACAAACAGGCGTGATCGAAAGGGGCCGTTTGTATTTTTGAACTGAAGCCGATGTTAAATTTTTAATTGTAATTTTGCTACGAAAGTTTCGGCTATTGTTGGATGAACAAAGCCTTTGCGGCAGTTGTTAGTTTACATGAGTTATAATTGGTGGAAACTGTAGAATGCGCATATTGAATATGGTTATGCATATATATATATATATATATATATATATATATATATATATATATACATATCATTCAGTCATTTGTGGATGTTTTATGTTATGGGAATAACAAACCTACCTGCAACGTTGAAAACTGCGCCCTTAGAGAGAAGGTGATACATTTAGCTAAATGAAGAAAAAATGATAAAGCTAATGGACCAATAACATTGGACGATGAAATATACATTCAATATACATTCAAATTTCAAATGTACACTTGTATGTACATTGAGAGAAAAATGTTTGGTATTTGTGTAATTATAATTGCATAAATATCAAACAAATTGCTAAAATAATTGCGATTAAGAGCTATTTTTATACTACTGTAATGTTAATAATAATAATTGTAATTTTATAAAAGAAATATGTATAATTAGCATTGAAATATCTATAAATTATAATTAAATTTTTGAAACAGAAAATCAGTGGTATTAAAGAAATATCTTATTAGAAGCAAGAAATAAAATAAATTATAATAAATTTTACTCAGAGGAAAGCTATAAGATTTTAAAAACATCTTTTACAGGTTAAATTATAATAATTGCAACCATTTCTTTTTTCAATGTAAAAAGATGAATCTATACTAATATTTTGAGATTTCTATACAATTGCTACATAATATAATAAAGTAAAAGGTAATATAATATGAACAATGGTAAGAATAATATATTCAATAATAGACACCACGACAATTAATAATAATAGTAACAATAACGACTTTATTGCCACATACATAAATAAATGGACATGGCCGATGTACAGCGTACAAGCTGGATCGCGATTCGATCCGGTTGCGTCAAACTACAGTCACAATCTCTCACGTTTTCACATACACACAAGCACGCACATGTACATTCTCTTTCTATCTAACTTTTTCTCGCCTTTTCCGGCGGCACGTACAGTCCGATGCAGCCGTCGCCCTACTTACAACAACGCTTCTACTTTGTATCGGAGCACGGATTAAACAGACACCGCGTTAGAAATAAGCGATTCGCGAGGAATAATCTCCTTGAAAGGGTGCCCCGCGCCATCAGCACCGAGCGAAAGTGCGGACTCGTGGGGGGAGCTACGAACGATTTGCCTACGAGTGGTTTCGCCGTGTCAAGCGTATACCAGGATATAAAGGTATACAGGATATAAAGTATCGAATGTTCAAGGAGACGATGGAGATGCTACGAGGGAACGGGAACGAAAGAGGGATGATCTCGAAGAGAGTTCGTCGATTCGATTTTATCGGGTACCATCTAACGGTGATAAACGCGATTCCGGCGATACAAAGCGTTCCGAATTCATCATCACTCGTCTTCATCTGTCGTTTTCAGCATTATGTTTGGCAATCATCCTCACATTATGCAACTACCTGATTTTGTTTTTTTTTTTTAACATTGCGCTGAATTTAACTCTCCGTATGCAACCTAGGTCTCTTTTTTGGCCAAATTTTTTTTATTATTTTATTTCCTAAAACTTTTAGAGTGAATCTCATTCTGTAGAGTGAAAAATCTCCTAAACCAGTATTCATAATCAGTTCTTATTTTAAGACCTTAATTAAGACGTTAATGCGGCCCTTTGATTGGTTCGTGACATCTCAAGACAGAACTTGAAACAGTCTTGAATATAAGAACTGACTATGAATACCGAATGATACTGGTCTTAAAGATTGAAAATTGAGTTACTCTTTTTCAAGATTGCTTCAATTTTTATTCTTTAAAATGAGATTCTACTCCAAAGAATTTAGAGAGTAGGCTTTCGAAAAATTTAAAATTCTATCTCTATTATTAACAAAATATTTTAAGAGGAGGGGAGGGGGGGAGGAGAGTAGACACCGCCCTCTTTTATTTTGGAGAACTTCGAAAATAAAACTTTGCTTGTGCCGAAAGAAACCAGATTGTAGACGAAGGATTAAGATTAAGGATCTTATGATGAATTTTAACAACAAACGTAAGATGAGAATTCGATCCGAGTATCGCACGTCGTGGAGTAGCATCGGCGACAGTGCTACGTACACATAGTAATACACGTTTTATCCGCGGTATCATGGGGATCTGATTTCTTCTGGATCCCCGATAGATATCTTGAGTCCCCCGACAAATGTCGCTCCGCTGGGAGAAGAAATATACAAGTTCGAGCCAAATTCAAGGATGCCGAGCGAGTGAGCGCGCCACAAAACGGCGAGGAAATGTCGCATTGCGAGACGTCTTTTACAATGCAAGACGGTGACTTTCGGCGAGAATCTCGCGCTCTCCCTCTGTTGCCATTGACCGATGGCGCTGGCGCGAGAAAAAGTTAAAGGGAAGACCTCTTGGTGTACGCCGTTTGGAAGAATATTCTTCAGAGAGAATTCCTCGAATACCTGTGAATTCGAGAAAATTTTTCGGGTCAAGACCTCGCGAGAATTCCCTTTATGCCCGCGCGACGGCTGCGTTCCCCGCTGCGAGGGAAACGCCCAACGCGTTTATTCACGCGTCTCGCCGCCGGATCGGTCGGATATTTTACGGAACGAAGATTGGCTCGTGCCGTAAAATGCCGCACCGTGACTAGGAAAGATTGACGTGTGCCTTAAGCGCGGGATTGAAGCCGCAACAACACCCGATTGTGCCCTTATACAACAACTCAATTAAATATGACTGACGTTGAACTGTAAAATACGGGGGAGAAAAAAAAGGAGAAAAGCGCTCGATGCAATTCCATTTAATTGACATGTATGCACTTTGGGGGAGGTGCGACGCCGCTTGTTAACTCGATTAGGCCCTAAATAAACCTAAGTAAACCAGAGATTCTCGAAGGACACCCGGCACTTGAAGGCGTATCGTACGCCGCGTTCATTGAAAAATAGCGCGTGCTGGGAATAATTAATTATAGCTTCGACTATCCATATTTACCAAGTTCTCTCTCTAACTCTTTCTTCGCTGCGAATATACTGACACATTGCACTTTGGGGGCATCTTTACCCGTTTGGCGCGGGTAGATTCGTTTGATATCGTTTGCAGTGTTCCAATAAAGGCCTCGTCCCCGATCGCGCCGATAGCCGATCGTAGTGCATTTTCCATTCTTTCTTTCTCTCTCTCTCTCTCTCTCTCTCTCTCTCTCTCTCTTTGTTGCTAAGATCACCGAGTTACACAGTTCACCATGATTCCTAATGAATCATTCTGCGCTTTCGCAATACATCGTTGAATCACGTAATTGTATTAGCAAATCGATTTGTCGGCCTGACAACTGCCGTCCGGCCTAGCGAGAAATAGCTTGCCGCTTGCGCAGGCACATAGCTGATAGATGGTCGTCTCCTTTTGGCTTTGATGAACGGACGAGGATCTGCCAGAGTGTTGTTGCTGTTGCTGTTGCTCCCTGGATGAGTGTCCTTGTACCGGGATCGCTGTCTTCAGGCCCTTTATATAGACAGACTTGGCATCAAGCCGGATGGCTCCATGAACGCTTTGCAGTTTCAAATCCGTCAGGCAAGAAGCTGAAATCTCGTTCGCCCAGGACTCGATCACCACCCGCTGAGGAGCACTTATCTTCAAGGATCTTGTTGCTGATTCGAGCCTATAGCATAGTAAATAATTCGATTTATATGTGCTGTATGTAGAACTTTCTCCACTTTCACACAAATTTCTTTGTTAACGCGAAGACAATTTTTTCTTAACGAAAATATCGAGGCGCTAGTAATTTCTAAGTTACAAACGATTGAAAGAAAAGATTTTTCCGCAAACATTTTCCTTTAAATATCAAGAAGCCAATTCTTGAACTAATTTTTCAAACGGAATTTACGTTAATAGAATTTCAACTTTCAACTTAAATCATAGAGATATGTGATGCTAAAGATTGGAAAGCCATAAATGATAATAAATTCAATGTTTTAAAATTCAATGTTTTACTGATTAATTTATTGTAAAGAAAAACTATGTGTAAGAGATAAACATTTATGTTATTACGTAATCTAATCTTTATATGTAAAACATTTTTATAATACATAAAATGAACAATATGAATACATAATTAATATACTGCATAGAATATTCATTGAATTGGGATATTATGTTCAAGTAACAATATCATCATTAGACTTCCAAAGCCGTGAACTACATCGTGTGTCGCCATTAGCTTTCGAAACACGATTATTCCCCACGAATTATCACCGATTATCAGTCCACGTGATTAATTGACTTCCATGATTTACGATTTGATGAACATATCGAAGCGATGGCTATTTATTCAAAAAAAGATTCGCAGCAATTTATCAAAGAATATTTTGCACGATTTAATTGTAAATCATGAATCAATATGTGAATCAAAACAGTAGAGATGTAAATAATTGTTTTATTTCAATAACAATGATCATCTCTTTAATAATTGAAATAAAATATTTAAATGCCGAGATTTGACATAAGGTAAATGTACCAGTTAGTTGATATGATTATTGGGCAAAGTGACAAAAATTTTAAATATTGAGCTTTTAATATGTACAGCTCTAAATAAATTCGTTATACCAAATTTTTATAAATAAATTTATTTCGAGTCGTACATTATTAAAATCTTAGTATTTAAAATTTTTGTCAATTCTTTTGTCAATAATTGGGTTATGTCAACTAACTATCTACTAATTAGTATATATTTATTCAACTATTCACAGACTTTTAGACGCGAGAAAATGCATGTCTTTTTGTATGTATAATTAA